TCATCTATTTAATTATTCATTTATATAATAATTTTAAAATTTTGAATACCTCTTTTTTGTTCTCTGTATATAACTTTATGTAATAATTGCAGTCTTGTTTCATAAATGCCATATTTTTCTTACCTCTTTCAGATACTATTGAGGATAGGGTAGTGGACCTGTCAAGTCTTCTGGTTTTCTGCTTTCATGATATGAACTTTTTCTCCCAGCACTTAGCTCTGTGGTAATTTTATATCTATCTTTGTAATTTCTGCTAAATTTCTCCTTTATGACAGTGCAAGTGTCAAATCACCAGGATCTCACTTTTGCTCTTCATTGTTCTGCAGTGTCTAGTAGATCTCAAGTTTCATCAGGGTGTTGAAATATACACTGGATGATGGACTTTAGTGTGCCTTGGGCAGTGAGGTCACACTGCACCTTGATGTCCTCCTGAGCTCTGAGCCTCCCAGCCTCCTGTCACAGAACATTCCGGGACACTGAAACAGTCCACTTGCATGGGGTGCAGAGTCACACCGACCACCTGATGGACAGGGAATCAATGGAAGATGAGGCACCAGGCCTCTGAGGGAAAGTCCCCTGGTTCCACCCCAGCTCCACCACCTCCTTAACCTCTCTGAGTCTCCCTTTCCCTGTCTGTACAATAACATCACATATGGGGTTCCTCATGGGTTTCCTCTGAGGATTAAATTTCAGCCTCTAAGTACAACAAATGGTATTACTGCCTGAGACATATTGTGTTCCACTACTCATAGCTACCATAATTATGTTGATTACAGCATTTAGATTCTTTCCATTCTTTTGCTTTTATAAACCACAGTTCAAGAAGTGTCCTTGAACATACATTTTTGAGAACATGTGTGATTATGTTCCTTGGATAAATTCCTGAAAAAGACATGTCTGCATCAAAATGTAAGCATATTTAGGGCCGAACCTGTGGCTCACTCAGGAGAGTGCGACACTGGGAGCGCTGAGGCCGCAGGTTCGGATCCTATATAGGGATGGCCAGTGCGCTCACTGGCTGAGCGCAGTGCGGGTGACACCAAGCCAAGGGTTCCTATCCCCTTACCGGTCACAAAAAAAAAAAAAAAAAAAAGAAAGCATATTTAAATTGTTCAGATGTTTTGCAAAAGTCCCCTTTAGACAATTTGTACCCAAGTTTTCAATGTTATCAACATTTATGCCAGTTTATTTCCCCTGCCCTCTGGCCAATACACTCATCAGTTACTTTCATCTTTGCCAAATTGATGGATTAAAATTTTTGTTCCCATTTTCAATTTCACATTCTCATTTTGGTTCACGTTTATTACTAATGTATTTGTTAGACATTTGCATTTCTTCTTTTTCAAATGGCTTTCTGATATTCTTTATTATTTTTCAACTGCAATGTAGGTACTTAAAAATATTGAACGTAAGAAAGAACAGCAGCTCCTGACATCTGGAAATTGGTCTGACACAGCTAGGACTCCATGTTGTGTGGTGCTGTCCTGGTGCTCACAGCAAGGACACATGTTTCTCCTGTTGAACATACACTATATTATAAAACGACATTAGACAAGGACATTCTGAGGCCATGATAAAGTGACAAAACAGGACCACGACATAATTTTATGAAAGCACAGACAAAACGAAGGCACTGAGCAAATCACAAAATACCAAACGCCGCCCCCTGCTGGCTACTATGAGTAGTGGCTGTTTCATTATCAATCATAGTTTTACCGTTGTTCTGCTCTGCACTCATTATAGGTAAGATTTATTGAGATCTGGCCGGTTGCTCAGTTGGTTAGAGTGCAGTGTTATAATATCAACTTCAAGTATTTGTATCCCCAGACGGGCCAGAAACAAAAGAAAAAAAACTGTTGAGACATTCAATCATAGAATTGCTCCTGCTTCTTGACAACACCCAATCTAGAGTGAATCCGCTTCCTTAGCTCTTCCCAAAATCATCCAAACAAAGTCCAAATCCTACATTACGCTCTTTCTAACAGCCTCGTACTAAGCCAGCCCATGGTTCCCCACGGTGTGCAGTCTCTCCTGCTGCAGTAAGTAATAAACCCATGTTGTTCAATTACCAGTGTGTTCCTCATGGACTTTAGCTGACAGATATTGATAAATGGTACCCTTTTGTCTGTCAAATTTTTAATGTGCCCTTGAGTTTGACTATGAGCATGTGTTTGTATATTTGTGGTTCTGTGGTTGACACACAGAAGTTCTTCTTATGGTTTTTCATCTTTAGGTCATGCTTAGAGAATCCTTCTTCACTCCGCAACTGTAAAAACTTAATGCATATTTTCATCTACGTAGAGGCAATGAGGGAAAAGGGTCCAAGGGTGAAGAGAAATAGAATTGTATGTTTGAATTTGGGAGAAAGCTGGGGGTGAGGAATGGAGGTGCCCAAGAGGGAAAGAGTTCTTAGGTTTAAATCTGTTGCTTAAAATTTTAAAAATTTGTCTAAAAGTCTTACGGGGTATTTTATATATGTTGTCTTCAATAAATCTGTTTGTTGGGCTAAGTGCAGACTTAGGTGCATCCTTATACTCACCAGGTTAAAGAAACAATAACGTCAAGAGTCCCAATGAAATATACACAAGATTAGCTCTGGTGATGGGCATTTTTGAAAATTATGTATACTCTAATTGTTAAATACATATTAATTAAACTTGCTCAGGTATGGTGTATTTTAGGGATATATCTAAGACCCACATAGACAAATCCATGGCTTTCATATGAAGATAATTTTAATTTACTTCAATCTATGAGTTACAATGTATCTTTTTCTGGGTGGAAGATTGAAAACGAAGAAAACTCCAGATATACACTGCCAAAAATGGTAACTACTAGCCTCATGGCTATTTATCTTTAAGTTAATTGAATAAAATTTTAATAATCCAACTGTTTAGTGCACTAGACACATTCTGATTGTTCAATAGCCAAATGTAACTGGTGGCTACCATACTGATTATTGCAGATATAAATTATTTTCTCTGGCATCAAATTTCCAGGGGGTGGGTTCTCTTCGAGAGGAGCCCAAGGGCAGAGCATTGTAAGCTTTGGGAAGCAGGGAGTTCAGCTCAGGGAAAGGAATTCTGGAAAATTAAAAAGCTAAGAAGAGGATGGGCCAGTTGAGAGACTCTCCAAGGCTTACTCATAACAGCAGTTCTCAAAGTGTAGTCTGTGGAACCTTGGAGTTGCTGAGACCCTTTCCCAGGATCCACAGCACAGAACTCTTTTTATCGTTTTAAGATATATATATATATATATATTTTTAAAGATGACTGGTAGGGGGATCTTAACCCTTGACTTGGTGTTGTCAGCACCACGCTCACCTAGTGAGCTAACTGACCATCCCTATATAGGGATCTGAACCCTTGGCCTTGGTGTTATCAGCACCGCACTCTCCCAAGTGAGCCATGGTCCAGCCCTACTAGGACATTATTTGCACTGAAGTAAAATTTAGCAAGAATGAAGGTGGCAAACTGCAAAGAGAGTTATTGTGTTCTTCACCACCTCTTCATGCAGAAGAAAAAATAAGTCAGTTTCACTTAAATATGTCCTAGCTGAACTATTAAAAGTATTAAGTTTATTAAATCTCCATTCTAGAGTTTACATTTTAAAAATATGTTATATGATTAAGTGGGAAATACACATAAAGCAATTCTACCACGTTCCAAACTAGGATGTTTGTGTAAATGACAATCATTCTGTGAGCTGTACTAACCTCTTTTTTACGGAATACCATTTTTACTTAAAACAATAAATGATAGAGTATCATTATTTAGACTTAGATATTTGGCCAATACTTTCTCAAAAAATGAATGTGAGCCCATCCCTCAAAAAAACCCATTGACAGTATTTTTGCCAATGATAAAATGTAAGCTCCCAAGAGAAAGTTAGAAGTTTGGAGGACTTGCATGCACCACCATCAGCATGACAACTTTCCAATACTTACAATGTTTTCTGGTGGGATTTGTGGTAATATTAACAAATATGATGTTTTGATAATTTGGAATTATCAATGTGTCAACACGGGGAGATCTATACAGCTTGGCGAAACATGAATTATTATTTTTTTAAATCATACATCAGCACAAGATCCATTCACTGTGCAACAAAGACCTATGGATTTTAATGTAACAGAATATGAAATATTCCACGAGTGTTTCAAGTTCCACTGCAAACAACCTTTAAGAATCTAATACATGTCATTTTAGTGTAGTATCAAAGATAAATCTGAAATTATCTGAAAACTGTATTAAAAATATTTCTTCTATATATTTTTGGGAGGCTGGGTTACGTTGTTGTTATTGCTGTTTTTGTTTTGTTTTGTTTTTTGTCATATACTTTAACCAAAATTACAGATTAAATACAGAAATAGATATGAAAATCCATTGGTCTCCTGAGACAGACAAGGAAAGGACTTGCAAAAATGTAAAATGTAAGGAGATTCGCTTTTCTAACTATAGTTTTATTTTGGAAGTAGTTATTTCTCATTTAAAAAAAAATTTTGTGGTTAAAATGAAACGGGTTATTAATGTTCTAAATGAATTAATATTTTTAAAACAGGTTTAATTTCTAATATGGTAAATACTGACAGATATAACCCACATAAAAAACTACCTTTGGGGTCCTCACTAATTCGAAAGAGCATACAGAGAGGCCGAAACGAAAATGTTCGAAAAGCGCTGACTTAGCTCCTGGGCCACCAGGATTCAGCGAGACCCTGTGACAGAGAACGAATCTGTGCAGAAGGACAGGGGTCAGGACAAGGTCCCAGGTCCCGGGTGAGGCTCTCAGGGTCTCAGGCCTGAGGGTGGGGTCAGGCAGGGAAGCCGAGCACCTGGGATCTCCATGTCCCCGGACTTTCACTTCTCCCTCTCACAACCTGTGTCGGGTCCTTCTGCCCGGACACTCGTGACATGGCCCCAGTCCTCACTCCCATTGCGTGTCCGGATTCTAGAGAAGCCAATCAGCGTCGCCAGTTACAAAGCCCCCACGGTCCCGCCGGGACTCAGATTCTCCCCCGACACCGAGGATGCGGGTCATGGCGCCCCGAACCCTCCTCCTGCTGCTCTCGGGGGCCCTGGTCCTGACCGAGACCCGGGCGGGTGAGTGCGGGGTCGGGATGGAAACGGCCTCTGCGGGGACAAGAGCGAGGGGACAGCCGGGCGGGGGCGCAGGACCCGGGGAAGCCGCGTCTCCGCCGCCCCCGGCCCAGACCGTTTCCCGCCTGGGCCACCCCCTGTCGCGTGAGTCGTGGTCCTTCCAAGTGCCGCCGCCCTTCTCCGTCTCCCGCGCCCCCTTGTTCCCCTCCGGCCCATCAGCCTGGGTCCCGGGGGTCCCGCAGGAGGAGGGTCGTTCCGGTCTCAGCCCCTGCCGTCCCCAGGCTCCCACTCCCTGCGGTATTTCTACACCGGCGTGTCCCCGCCCGGCCGCGGGGGGCCCCGCTTCATGGCCGTGGGCTACGTGGACGACACGCAGCTCGTGCGGTTCGACAGCGACGCCGCGAGTGCGAGGATGGAGCCGCGGGCGCCGTGGGTGGAGCAGGAGGGGCCGCAGTACTGGGAGCGGGAGACGCGGAACGTCAAGGACACCGCCGAGGCTCAGCGCGTGAACCTGCGGACCGCGCTCGGCGACGACAACCAGAGCCAGGCCGGTGCGTGACCCGGGCCGGTCACAGGTCACGACCCCCATCTTCCTCAGACGGGCCGGGGTCGTCCCGACACTCGGGTCCCAGATTCACCGTGAGGCTGCGGGTTCCGCCGAGACAATCGACCCGGGAAGAGCCCGGGCGGCTTTTACCTGGTTCCAAGTTCGGTTTAGAAATCGCGGCGCCGGGTCGGGCGGGGGCGGGGCTGGCGACGGGGGCGGGGTTGACCTCGGGAGCGGGACTGACCGCGGAGGCGGGGCTGACCTCGGGGGCGGGGCTGGCGACGGGGGCGGGGTTGACCTCGGGAGCGGGACTGACCGCGGAGGCGGGGCTGACCTCGGGGGCGGGGCTGGCGGCGGGGACGGGGCTGGCGGCGGGGGCGGGGCCAGGGTCTCACCCTCCAGAGGTTGTACGGCTGTGACGTGGGTCCTGACGGGCGCCTCCTCCGCGGGTACAGTCAATACGCCTACGACGGCGCCGATTACATCGTCCTGAACGGGGACCTGCGCTCCTGGCCCGCGGCGGACGCGGCGGCTCAGATCACACGGCGCAAGTGGGAGGCGGCCGGTGTGGCGGAGCAACGGAGGGCCTACCTGGAGGGCAGGTGCGTGGAGTGGCTCCGCAGACACCTGGAGAACGGGAAGGAGACGCTGCAGCGCGCAGGTGCGAGGGGCCGCGGGGCGGCTCCCATCTCCTGCACATTCCCCGATGGCCTCCCACATGGAGGGGAAGAAAATGGGACCGAGGCTAGAGTGTTGCCCTCCCCGTGGTCCAGAGGGGAAGAATCCTCACGGGTTTCCAGACCTGGTACAGACCGTGACTCTGAGGGCTGCCCTTCTCCCAAGACACTTAAGGGATGAGTCTCTCCAAGGCTGGAGGGGAAGACAGTCCCTGAAATACGGATCAGCGGTTCCCTTTGACCCCTGCGACAGCCTTGGGCACTATGACTTTCTCAGACCTTGTTCTCTGCCTCACACTCACTATGTTTGGAGGTCTGACCCGGCTTTTCTGACTCTTGGCCTCCTCCCAGGTCAGGACCAGAAGTCCCTATTCTGTCCCTCAGAGACCTGGAGCCTCCTACCTTGGAGTTCTGTCTTACCCTGTGTCTAGAGCTTTCCAAGGAATGAGACAGTATCCATATGTCTGTGTCCAGGCTGGTGTCTGGGTTTTGTGCTCCCTTCCCCAGCCCAACTGTCCTGTCCATTCTCACTGCAGTAACATGAGCGCTGCTTCAGTGGCCCATGGGAAGTAATGCAAAGTGTCTGAATTTCCTGATTTTTCTCCTCAGATCCCCCAAAGACACACGTGAGCCATCACGCCGTCACTGGCAGTGAGGCCACCCTCAGGTGCTGGGCCCTGGGTTTCTACCCTGCGGAAATCACACTGACCTGGCACAGAGATGGGGAGGACCAGACCCAGGACACAGAGTTTGTGGAGACCAGGCCTGCAGTGAATGGAACCTTCAGAAGTGGGCAGCTGTAGTGGTACCTTCTGGAAAGGAGCAGAGATACACGTGCCATGTGCAACACAAGGGGCTACCCAGGCCCCTCACTGTGAGATGGGGTAAGGACAAGAATGAAGGATCAAGTCTTTTCTCAGGAAAGTAGGAGGCATTCTGGAGACCTTCAGCAGAATCAGAGCTGAGGTCAGGGCCCCTCACCTTCCCTTCTTTTCCCAGAGCCACCTCCTCAGCCCACCATGCTTATTGTGGGAATCGTTGCTGGCCTGATTCTCCTTGGAGCTGTGATTGCAGGTGTTGTGATGCGGAGGAAAAAGAGCTCAGGTAGGGAAGGGTGATGGGTGTGGTCCAAGTTTTCTTGTCTCACTGGGGGGCTTCAAGTCCCAGGTAGAAGTGTGCCCTGCCTTGCTACTGGAATGTACCATCCACACACTCATGTGCTTACCCAGCCGGGGCCCTTTGTGCTGACACTTGCTCTGTTGTAAACACATGGACAAGGAAGACAGATTTATCACCATAATGGTTGTGGGGATGGGGACCAGGAATCAGAGGTCAGAGTGGAAGTTCTCTGCTGAGGACAGACATCCAGAAGGGCAGTTGGTCCAGTCCTTGAACATCTGCTATCCTTATGTCTCCTAATCCTGCTGAGGGTTCATGGTCACAGTTCTGGAAATTTCCCTAAGGTCCAAAACTACAGAATTCCACTAGGACCTCAGGATAGGGACAGGTGGAAAAGGGAGTTACAATCAGGCTGCCTGTAAGTATGATGGGGTGTGATCCCTGAAACCCTTGGGATAGTGTAGAAGAGAGCCCATGGGGAGCTCACCCACCCCATAATTCCTCCTTTAGTCACACCGTCTGTGGGCTCTGACCAGGTCCTGTTCTTATTCTACCCCAGGCAATGACAGTGCCCAGGGCTCTGATGTGTCTCTCACAGCTTGTAAAGGTGAGACCCTGGAAGGCCTGAAGTGGGAGAGAGAGTGGGGCAGAGGGACACGACTGGGGTATGGGGATTTGGACATTTTGAGCATGTGGTGGGCTGTTCAGAATGTCACCACTTACAGTGATTTATATACATTTATTATTATTTTGTTCTACAGTGTGAGACAGCTGCCTTGTGTGGGACTGAGTGATTCCACATGAATTCAACTCCCCCACAACACCACCACTGTGACTTCAAGAGCTCCTCCCTGGCTTCTCTTAATGCAACTGGCATCAGGATGCGTCTGTGTGTCTGTGCTCCTGTTAGCATAATGTGAGGAAATGGTGAGACTGGCCTATTCCTGAGCACCAAGACCCCTTCCCCACACTGACCTGTGTTCTCTTCCCTGATCAACTCTCCTGTTCCAGCAGAGGCAGGGCTGGGATGTCTCCATCCCTGTCTTAAATGTATGTTGCACTGAGCTACAACTTCTTACTTCCCTATTGAAAAGAATTATCTGGATATGAATTTGTTTGCAAATTCTTGCCATAGGGTGTGGTCAATGGGTTAATTAAAGGAGAAGAAGATTCTTAAAATTTGAGAGTAGAAATAAAACCTGAAAGCTTCCAGAATCTGCGTTTGCTGTGCTGAGTCTGTTGCAGGTGGGGGCAGGGGAAGGCTGTGAGGGGCCGAGCGTGGATGGGGCCTGTGCCCAGCTGGTGCTCAGTCCATTGTGGTCATTCCTCCGCTGGGTCATCTTCACTGCTCCTTTGTCCTTGTCCCTTCATTAAAACCTTGTCCCAGCAGGACCTGTGATCAGAGGGACTCAGACATTGCCCAGCTTTGACCTGTCTCCTAGACTGTGGGTAGCGAGGGTACCTGGGTCCTGCCCTCAGCCCCCACTTTTTATGTGCTTATATTTTGTGTCTTTCTGTAGAGGATTATGCCTGTTCTTGTGCTTGTGTACAAGTTCTGGTCTCTTTCTTCTCTGGGTGTCCCCATCCCTGAGAGCAGCAGGAGTCGTTTTTTCTGTTATTGTCCCCATAAGACCCAGGGAAGTCCTTGCACACAAGATTCTCTGTGGTATCAAGAGATGAATTTTCAGACTCTCTAGCTCTTGCTCTCCTTCTAAGGATGTTTCCTGGATTACATTTTTTATCTTTCCCCCAATCTTTTAAAAGGAACTAGTTTCTGGAATCATCAGAGGAGGGATCCCATAATTTCTCATCTTAGATAAATTCCTGTTGTTTCCATCCTCTGCTCACCTTCCTGCTGTTCTGTTCTCAGCTCTAAAAATCCCAGTGCTGGCTCCAGTCCAAACTCATATGTATATAAAGCAGAATCTAACATAGATTTGCATTTGGTTGGAAAATAGGGCCCGTATGCCTAGGCTCATTTTTCTGGAGAAAAATAACCATGTCCTGTAGTGTGCAGGAGGACTGGTGTGGGAGGGAGAGGATGGAAGGAGGGAGGGACGGAGGAGACCAGTGCTTGTGAGAAGAGCACAGGCGACATTGATGTCAGCGTGAGAGGACATTGTGCTGTAGCTGCCACAAAACAGCGTTTGGCCTGAGGCTACATCAATATAGTGTCTCTACAATAAGGAGGTGCTCTTCAATGATCATTCCTTGAACCAATATTTTCTGAGTGCTGGCTATTTGACACACTATTTTGGCATCTAGAATACATCAGTGAATTAAAAACTGGCCAAAATTGCCAACTTCGTGGAGCATGTATTCTAGTGGGAAGAGGCAAATACTTCACTATGAGCAGCGTAAATAAGGAAAGCATGGATGTTACAAGGGGGTCAGTGCTGTGGGGAAGGTGATCCAGAGTGTGCTGTGTGGGGACAGGGAAGAGGGCTGTCACAGGAAAGGGCAGTGTGAGCCTCGTTGGAAGATGACCCTTGAGGGAAGATTTGAAGGACATGAAGGACTTTGTCATAGGATATCTGGATGAACTTTGTTCTGTTCAGGGGAACCTGCAGTGCAGATGTAACAAGGCAGGAGCGTGTCTGTGCACTCAGGGAAGAGGGAGGGACCTGTTACAATGGAGCAGAGAGTAACTGGAATGAGGTCGGAGGTGCGGCCAGAACGTGTAGGCCTGGGGGATGTTGGAAGGGTTTTTGAGTGAGACAGTTTTGAGCACAGACAGACATGGTACGACTTCTCTTTTGAAAGGGTCATGCTGGCTGCTGTGCTGAGAACAGAATCCAGAGGTGAGGGGAGAGTGACAAACTAAGAAAAATCATGGGGACCTGCTTCAGTGCTCCAGGCCACACGTGTCAGTCATTTCAACTGGGGTGTGAGCAGTGGAAATACTGGGAAGGGACTCGTTTCTGGACACATTTCAAAAACTGATCTCACAGCATTTCCTAATGGACTAAATCTATAGTGTAAGAAAGTGTCAGCGAGGACACCAAAAATGTCATCATGTAAATGGAGAAGACTC